AACCCGCCACCTTAGGTGTACGTGGCTGGCGCCTTAGCCGGTTGAGCTATAGGCGCCGAGCCCAACACAGGTACTCTTATCAGCTACCTCCATTTGACAGTAAAACCAAGGCTTAGATACATTAATTTGCCCAAAACAAATATCTAGGACATGGTCAAAGACAAATCTGTATCCAGACAATCTCAGGCCTTGTCATTCTACATTAAGTGTTTCTCAAAGCAAGGGGGTGGAGTGCAGTGTTGGTCCCCAAACTGCTGTCAGTTCATAGCCAATTTACCATTGGTTATAAATTAAAAACCAGTGCTTCCAACATGGATGATTTGAAAAGCACCGTTCTACACTATACTACCTGCTCAGAAAGACCCTGTCATTTTGCAGAGCTGGGATGTTGCACATCTGATTTTGCACAGCAAAAATCCTTATTGGCGACTGGGAGTGGTGGTAGTGGTGAGGTGTTGGGTTGGACTGAAGGGCATGCTCCAAGTGGCCTGGGCAGAAGATAATCTTGGTAAGAAACGAATGTTAGAGACTGGTAGGATGGCCTTGACAAGATCTAAGAGGCTGTCCAATAGGCTCTACCTCCATTTGGCTTGTTATGCTCCCCAAAACATTAACCAGAGAGTCTTTCCACCTGCAATTCCTTCTGCCTGAAAGGTTTCTTCTATAGGCTTCACATAGCTGGCTCCTAATCATGTGATTCTCAGCTCAAAATGTTTATCTGCTCAACAAGAACTTCCTGGACATCCTTCCCACCCCCCAGTCTCCTACCCTGCTTTGTTTCCTGTACAGACATGAAACTCTAAGATCACATTTATTTTTACACGTGTTTGTCACTGCCACTAGAATGTAGTCTTGAAAGTAAGGGCCCTAATTTTCTCAATGATCACCTAGGTGACTGCCTAGAACAGTACCTGGCACATAGCTAACAATCAATACACAAATACTGGATACATGAAAAGAGACAAAAAGAAAATACAGTACAAATAAATTCCTAGCAATGCAAATCACTTCCGCTCGTGAACCTCAGTATCTGCCTCTGTAGAATGGGGTTGCGTTGCCAGCCGAGTCCGACACCACCAGAAGGTGAGATATTCCGGGGAGGGGGCGGAGACTGCATGGCCAAACGCGGCCTGCAACGTCACATCCACCGTCGTTACCTGTGGGGCTCGGGGCGAACCGTACTCTCACCGCAGCCCCGGGACTTGTTCCCAGGGTCGCCTTGCGCCGTGCCAGCCCACTGCCTAAGGCAGTCGAGGGCCTCCCAAACTTCAGGAACCTCTTCAAGAGCGCCGCCATGTGGGATGGCATCGCACACGTGGGCTTTCGCCTTTGCGTCACTTCCTGAAACTCCTCTCAGCCAGTCTTCCTCCACCACAGTGAGTGTAGCCCCGCCTTTTAAAGGCACAGGCCTCCTCGAGCGAAAGCCCACGCCTCCCCCGGAAAACTGCGGCCCCACTCGGCCACTAGGGGGCAGAGTCCAAGATCGGGTGAAATCTCGGACCCGCCCCCCTCGGCTGGGAAAAGCTAAAGCGTGGCAGGGGCCGGGCCGGGGAAGCGGAGGAGGCGGGTCTCCATAGAAACCTCCACCTGTTTCCGGCCAGGCTGGGAGAGATTAGGGGCTACAGCGGGGGCCAATCTCTGCCAGCTCGCTTCTTCCCAGCGGCCTCTGCGGGAGCGGTGGGTGTTGTACACAATCATCATGGCGGCGGCCGGGGCCCCGGATGGTGAGTGCGGAGGGGGTGGCGGGCGCCTAGCTGGGGCTGAGGTTGCGGGCCTTAGGTCTGGGGATGTGGTCTGGTCCCGAAGGGAGAAGCGTGATTAGGGAGCAGCGGTCCGACGGCACCCCGGCAGAATCCGATCCCAGGCCCAGTCCGCGGCTAGCGCCCACCCCATAACCCCCTTTGCAGGCATGGAGGAACCTGGCATGGACACGGAGGCCGAGACGGTGGCGACCGAGGCGCCCGTGCGGCCTCTCAACTGCATGGAGGCTGAGACCGCGGCGGGGGCGGCGGCTGAGGACTCCTGCGCTGCGCGAGGCATCCTGCAGCTAGCCCCAGCCCAGCCCCCTGGGGACCCCGGGGCCCAGGCCTCAGTCAGCAATGGCGAGGACGCGGGCGGCGGCGCGGCAAGGGAGCTGGTGGACCTGAAAATCATCTGGAATAAGACCAAGCACGACGTGAAGTTCCCCCTAGACAGCACAGGCTCGGAGTTAAAACAGAAGATTCACTCAATTACAGGTAATTCCCGAGGCACTGACAGCTAGCCTTCCCCACTCTCTCTGTTAATTACTAGTTTTGACACTGCTAGGCACGGCGGTGGCCGCTTTCCTTGCATTAGCTCCCTCAGTTCTCTGAAGGATACTTGAATGCCCATTATTAGATGTGAGAAGAGACCCAAGATCGTAGAATTTGTATGTGGTTGAGCTAGGATTCAAGGCCCAAACTGACAGTCCTGAGCTTCTCATTAATATTGCCTAGCGTCTCTAATAAATAAAAATCACCTAAGGTCCTCCTTTAATTTACTGCTCCTAGGCTCTTCCCCAGGAGATCCTAATTCAGTGGGTCTTGGAGGTAGCCAGTTTATTTTAAGCCAGTATTTTAGGTAATTCTCATAAGTGAAGTTTAGGAAACATTGCTATTAACCATCATGGTTGCCTTTCACAGTTCGTGTTTCTTTTTTTCTTTCCGTTTTTTTTTTCTTCTTGAGACAGAGTCTCAACTTTCTCTCCCTCCGTAGCGTGGCATCACAGCTCACAGCAACCTCCAGCTCTTGCCTTCTCCCCAGTAGCTAGGGCTTACAGGCGCCCGCCACAACGCCCAGCAATTTTTTTGAAGTTTTTGGCCGGGGCTGGGTTTGAACCTGCCACCTCTGGCCTATGAGGCCAGCGCCCCACTCCCTTGAGTCACAGGCGCTGCCCCGCCTGGCTATTTTTTTCTTGGAGTTTGGCTGGAGCCAGGTTTGAACCGGCTACCCTTGGTATACGGGGCTGGTGCCCTACTCACTGAGCCACAGGTGCTGCCCTACAGTTCATATTTCTTTCTTTTTTTTTGAGACGGAGCCTCAAGCTATCCCCCTGGGTAGAGTGTCATGGCATCACAGCTCACAGCAACCTCCAGCTCCTGGGCTCAAGCGAGTCTCCTGCCTCAGCCTCCCAAGTAGCTGGGACTACAGGCACCCGCCACAACGCCCGGCCATTTTTTGGTTGCAGCCATCATTGTTGTTTGGCGGCCGGGCTGGGGATTTAACCCGCCACCTTAGGTGTATGTGGCTGGCGCCTTAGCCGGTTGAGCCACAGGCGCCGAGCCAGTTCATATTTCTTAATTTTATCTTGTTTATAGTTTCTTGCTATCTGAAATGATTTCTTTTTTCAGCTTTCTACATGTAGCTTGCAAGCACTAAAAGAATAGAAACTTTGTCCTTATTGGTTTCTGTATCCCTGATGCCTGTGGATTCTCACTTAATGTTGAGTAATCAGATGATTGAGGAACAACTTGGGAAGAATGAGGGCTAGTATTTACTGAACAATTATTGAATACCAGATGTGCTCTAAATGCTAACTAAATGCTCCACTGTTGCACTGTCTCTTAATCTGTAAAACAGGTCTACACAAAAGGATCTACTCTCATCACTTCTGTAAAGTTTTGAAAGTTGAGGCTCAGAGGCTGTAAATTGCCCAAGTTCACAAAACTAACAGGTGGTAGAGCTGGTGTTCACTTCCTGCTCTGTTATTGGATGGCTGTGCACAGTCCCTACATTTTTTTGTTCTTTTCACTGTTTACGTTTTTTCAAGGTCTCCCACCTGCCATGCAGAAAGTCATGTATAAGGGACTCGTCCCCGAGGATAAGACATTGAGAGAGATAAAAGTGACCAGTGGGGCCAAGATCATGGTGGTTGGCTCCACAATAAATGATGTTTTAGCAGTAAACACGCCCAAAGATGCTGCGCAGCAGGATGCAAAGGCCGAAGAGAACAAGAAGGAGCCTCTCTGCAGGCAGAAAGTGAGTCCGCTGTATGTTTGTTGGTCCTGAGAAATTTGAGGCTTTGTCCTCTTGAGCCTTGGCTGGTTATATTCTCCCTAGAATAAGCTCCTTTTCGGACAGGGCCCATGATGGAAATTTATGGCAGCAAGTGGGTGCGGCAGAGTGGAGGTGACAACTACCTGAGATTTGCAACTTTGTCTCATCTGGCGGTCAGTGTGTCTCAAGTCTACCTACTTTAGGATAAGGCCTTGGTAAAGGGAGGCTTCAAGCAGGTGTTGAAGGAATCAGTTGTGGGTTTCTCACTCCTATGTAGTACCAGAGAAAAATGCAGTACTAGAAGTAAGCCCTCATTCTGTACAAGTGCTTACGTTTGTTTTTTGGTTTGTGGCTTTCCTCAAGTCAACAAGCCTGGTTTTGGATAGGCATGAAAATCAACAGCTTTCAGAGGGTCCTCTAAAACCGGCTATTTCAGGAAGCCAAATGAAGCTGAGTAGGAAAATAACTACACTGTTTTTTTTTTGTTGTTCTCTTGCTTCATGAAATAGGGACCTGATTTTTCATATTTTCTGTTGCTTATTTTGGATGGAAGAGATCTAGCTTGGTCTTATGCTCATTATAGCGATTAAAATTCCTTTTGTAATTAGAAAAAAGATTATTTGGCCATAGGAGGAACAGGTTGGAAGAATCATCACTTAGGTTTTTATCACCCAGCGAATCCTACTCATTGCACCTCTTACTCGTTTTTGGTAATGTTCTAGGAAAAGTGCTGTTTTCAACTTAATCTATGTCCAGAGATGAACTTGAACCATCAGTTTTAGTGACTATTGGCACTAAGGTACATGGCCAACAGTGGGAGGAGCACACCATTTTGGGTTATAGATCCCTAAGGCCCTTTGTGTGCTTCTAGAACCCCCAAAATGATCTGAAAATCAAAAGTATCTTTATAAATTTGGCAGCAAAACCTTACCAGAATTAGTGTGGATATTCATGTTTTGCTACAGAAAAAAGTTTTTTTAAAGGCACTGTTTCCTTATGTCAACTGGGCTGGAATACAATGGCACAATCATAGCTCCAGTGATTCTCCCACATCAGTCTTCCAAGAAGCTATGACTATAGGTGCATGCTACCATGCCTGGCTATTTTTTAATTTTTTTTAATTTTTTTTTTTTTAATAGAAACAGGGTCTCTGTTATCCAGGTTGGTCTCAAATTCATGGCCTCAAGTGATCCTTGGCCTCCCAAAGTTTGGGGATTATAGGTCTGAGTCACCATGCCTGGCCTTGTTATGGAAATATTCATGTATTTGGTGACAAGGTGCTGTCTCAGGCCCGTGGAGGTTATTATGTGTTTTAAGCTATATTATCATTATAAAATCCATAAAACATTAAAGTCCAAAACATCTATCTGTAAGATTTCAGAAGAGAGGTTGTAAAACTGTATTAACATCTAAAAGATGTTTATTTAGGCACCCTTTAGGCACCCTTTTTTTTGAGACAGAGTCACCCTGGGTAGAGTGCTGTTATGTCACAGTTCACAGCAACCTGAAACTCCTGGGCTTAAGCAGTTCTCTTGCCTCAGCCTCCCAAGAAGCTGGGACTATAGGTGCCCACCACAATACCTGGCTATTTTTTTGGTGTTGCAGTTGTTGGCCTGGGTTGGGTTCAAACCTGCCAGCCTCTGTGTATGTGGCTGGCGCCCTACCCACTGAGCTATGGGCACTGCCTATTTCAGCACTTTTTACCCTCATATATAGGGTCATACTGTTTTATATTGATTGAGTTCATTACCATTTTCCTGTCTTCCACTGCACATGTATGAAATAGTCAAATGGGAGCATGTCAGACTTGAATGAGCATTCCCACTGGTCACTCCCTTAGAGCATAACATGCCTCTTAAATACAGGTTTTGAGTTACTAATGGTAGTTTAGCAGGCCTAGAACTGTTCTCCACAGTGCAGGGAAAATTCTTCCAAAGCTCCTTGTAAGGTATGACTTTAGTCATTCTACTTCCAACATTTTTATCAGTTTACATTTTTATCAGCTTATTGAGGAATGTGCTATGACTCTTTGTTGCTAGCTGCCTGGCAGTGTTGAGTTTATTCCTGCAAGAGAGTTTTCTGCCATGCTGGTGAAGCTATGGACTGGCTCATGGTCAGCTAGTAATCAAAGTGGATGACATTTTCACCCTCTATTCTTTCATTGCCCCCATAATTCCAGCTTTACCAAGCTATGACTGTACCTATAAAGCCACAGGTGGAGAGGAGAGAAGACTCAGGTATTTGGTTCAGGCAGGAGAGCTATTTAGGAGGTCATGAACTTAGAATCCTTAATAGGCTGCCTCCAAGTCCTTGGGGTAGGGGGTTGGGGTAAAGTTAGAGACTTCTTAATGTTGGGTTACAGAATAGTTTGCATTTCTGTTTGGAAAGGTGGTCCTTCACACTTTCTGTTCAGCAGGGATTGAGGATAGGGCAGTGGAAAAGATGTCTGCAATCTCCATTTATTGACAAACTGCTCCTTCTGGGCCATTAAGCTGATTACCAGCATTTGTTGTATTCTTTAGGCGTTTAGGTTGACAGAAGCGGCTGCTATTTTCTACCTGTCAGGAAAGTAGCCAGCCCCCTTTCTGGCTCTCTGTAGCTTGATGTTTAATCCTTTCAGTGGTGACTTTTTGGTGGAGGTGAAGGGCATTTGGGAAATCCTATTTGCTCTTGAACTTTGGCATCTAATATGGTAGCTACATGTGGCTGGTTAAAATTAAATAAAATTGGCTCGGCGCCTATAGCTCAACCGGCTAAGGCGTCAGCCACGTACACCTAAGGTGGCGGGTTCGAATCCCCAGCCCGGACCCGCCAAACAACAATGACGGCTGCAACCAAAAAATAGCCGGGCGTTGTGGCGGGCGCCTGTGGTCCCAGCTACTTGGGAGGCGGAGGCAAGAGACTCGCTTGAGCCCAGGAGTTGGAGGTTGCTGTGAGCTGTAATGCCACGGCACTCTACCCAGGGGGACAGCTTGAGGCTCTGTCTCAAAAAAAAAAAAAAAAAAAAAAAAAAAATTAAATAAAATTAAGAATTCAATTCCTCAGTCATCCTGGCCACATTTCAAGTGCTTAATGGTCACAAGTGGATAATGGCTAGCTCAGGTGTAGAACATTTCTGTTATTTTCTAGAACAGTGGTTCTCAACCTTCTTAATGCCATGGCCCTTTAATACAGTTCCTGTGGGTCGCAACCCACAGGTTGAGAATCACTGTTCTAGAACATTTTCTCACTTGAGAAAGTTCTGCTAGATAGCACTGCTTTGTATTGTCAAAAGACCCATAATCTAGAGACATTAAAAACTTTTGACCCAAAACATTAAGGCTTTCTTCATTGTGTATTTCAGAGGGATAATAACATGACTAAATTGTAGTCAACTGTTCATTTCATTCTCTTCTCTGATTTATGTTGTAGCAACACAGGAAAGTGTTGGATAAAGGAAAACCCGAAGATGTGATGCCGTCTGTTAAGGGTGCCCAGGTGAGCTGGGATTTCTTTGTGAGCATTCTGAAAACGAGCCATTCCCAACTTCTGACTTCCTGAGATTCGTGTAATCATGACCTTGAGTTCTAGCTCTTGTGTTTTTTCTAACTATCCCTCCGCTTCTTACCATGCTCTGTGCCTCCAGGAGCGCCTGCCATCGGTACCCTTGTCTGGTATGTACAATAAGTCCGGAGGAAAAGTGAGACTCACCTTTAAGCTAGAACAAGACCAGCTGTGGATCGGCACTAAAGGTATGTTACTCTTCATCCTCTTCCTGGCTCACTGCCTGCCTCCCACTCCTAGCAGCACTCTCATAAGTGCAATTCTGTTCCTCATTCTCAAACCTCTCTCTTTACTGTGCTTTGCGTGCTTCTGGCTTTGGAATTTGCTTTTAGATGCTCACCTTTTGTTTGGACCCTTTTTCCTTGTTCGTTTTGGTCTGATCTCAGGGCCACTCCATCAAATGTTGGCTCTTTAGTTGCATACAAAGTCAGAGGTCCCAAACGTGTGGCCCAAGGGTCAGGTCTGATCCTCAGACAAGGGTTTTTGGGATTACACAGAATGTATTAAAATTGGGAGATTTCACTTAATCTAAGGTTTTTGGCTTCTCTTGAAAAAAAATCAAATGATCTGGCCATTTGGGGCCTGTGTTCTCACATAGCATTGATCCAGTAGAGCTGAGTAGTGTTTTCCAGTGGGCTACAGTCCTCGTGGTCCCCTGTATTTTTTACGTAGTCAGCTTTGTTCATTTATGTCACCTGCCTGGCCCCCTGTAGGTCAGAGTTTGACCCTGTAGAAGGTGAAGGCTTCCTAACCACTGCTGCCTAGGAACCTGCTTTTCTCTCCTTGCCTGGTTGCCCTCTGCCTACACACCCCTGCACGGTATCTGGACCAGCCTTGCTGTTTGCTGGGAAGTGTCTTTGGCTGTCCACCCTCTCCCTTCCCCCAGATGAGTTGTGAAGTCTTGTCAGTTACACTCCAGAATTGTCCGTCCCTTTCTGTGCCACACTATGGTGCCAATTGAGGCTCCTAGCATTTTTAAACTTGGTCTGTTTAAAGCGTGTTAACCTGTTTCTTTGCCCCATCTGTGTTTTCTTCTGTCCTATCCGTCTTGCATACTGCTTTTTGTCCTGAGCTCAAAAACCTTTGGCTCTAAGGCCAAGTTCAAAGCCTAACCCTAGTGTTCAGTGTTCTCAACAGCGGGCCTCAGTTTCACTTTTGACCTAGCTTCCTGCCCTGTTTGCCCTGTTTCCCCTGTGTATTTCAACCGCACCACTCCCTGACCTTCCCCACATGCTTTGCACAGCTCCTTGTCTTTGCTCATGCTGTGCCCTCAGCTGGAATGTCTTCTTTCCGTTCCTTGTTATTAATAAAATCTTCCAAGGCCCTATTAAAGTTACATCTCCTAACAAAGCCTTTCCTGATATCTTCCCCACCCTCCAAATGAATTGCTGCCGCTTCAGTTCATAGAGCACTCCGTTTATCTCCCCAGAGCACTCATTACTCTCTGACTTGTCTGTCCCCCTGTTAGATTCCTGGAGGGAACGGAACATGCCTAATTCACCTGTTTCTGGCCAGCACTGTAGGTATTCAGTGTTTGAGGTAAATGCTACAGAGAAGTATAGGGGGGTCCCATACTCTGAGGTTAATTGGTTTCAGGGACAGTCCATTTAGTTTGATGCCACTCAAAATAGGACCAAAGTTTTATAGAAAATAATTGGGACAGGGGTGGTGGGGAGTGAGTTTTTTTTTTTGTCATTTAAAATACACAAAACAAGTTTCTTATTTTTGAACCTATGCTGGTTCTTAAAATGAACAAAGATTGAAATGTCAATAACACTTGAGTTTTCTAACAATTTTGTGATAACTTTCTGTATTCTTTGCACATTCAACTCTCATTGCATGGTCAAAGCAAGTTTGAATGCTTTTGCAGTTTTGCCAAGGGTCTTTGAACCCCTTGCTGGATCATTTCTTTCTGCAGAGCCTATCCCATGATCCCCCTTCCCAATAGTTAGCTACCTGGCCTCTGTTGACTTTGCAGGTGATTTTGCTTAGTTCTCCATCATTGTATTCACTTGCTGAAGTGTGTAGACTTGCTGCCTCTTGCTAGACTTCTACTTTTGCTTGTGGGCAGTCTAATTTAAGGCAGTTGATAAGGCTGATCTGAGAAGACACTGCCAGCAGCATAGGCACAGGCTGTAGATGGCGGACTAAGTCTCTAAGTGTTCGTTGGTTCCTCGTGGACTACTTTTGTGTTATGAAGCTGTGTGGGGAACACATTAAAACCTAGGGACTTATAGAACGAGCACCTCCCAGACCTATGTTGGAGGCTTTATTTTAGTTCGTAGGAGCAACCACCATCTTGCTTTGGCCTGAAGGCAGAGCTCTAGATAAAGCTTGTTGTGTTGGGGCTTGTGAGTTATGGAAGTTCTCCTTACCAGCTTTATGAAGGTTGACCAAGGCTGAGATTTTCCTTCCCACCCAGCCACTGTATCTGTATACTTCTGGAGCCCAGGGGCAGGCTCTCTTCCCACTTGCCCAGAGTCCAGTCACCTGAGTGTCACAAGTACTTGCAGGAGGACAGCTTGTTCTGAGGGTTGGCTACTGGCCACTCGCTTCATCTTTCTGCTGGCAAAAAGCTGTGCAGTGACCATCCCAGCAGCTGGTTGGCCTCTCCAAGGGCACTTTGCTGAGTGAATGACCCTCAAAGGCTACTATTCAGCTTAAACTCGCTATGCTAGCTTGCTAGCTTGCGTTGGAGGTGGCAGTAATGATAGCCTTAAGCACAACAAAGTGATAAGAACAAGCTCCAAGCAGGAAATGTGAATGAGTGGAGCTGCCAGGGGAGAATGTGTGCCCTGCTTGTAGGGGAGTCTGCTGTAGCTGATAGTCTAATCTAGAGAGCAGGAATGTGCATCCAGGAATTGTCCAGTCTTCAGACTTTTCAAGAGAAGCCAGAAATCTATATTGTTGCGTGAAATCTCCAGACATTTCAAGATAAAAGGTGTTTTAAAAGTTTCAATCTTAAAGACAACTGCTAGTCAGGACCTGCCTGTCTACCACTGTTTTAGAGCCTTTATTTATTTATTACTTATTTATTTTTTGAGACAGAGTCTCACTTTCTTGCCCCCAGTAGAGTGCTGTGGCGTTATAGCTCACAACAGCAACCTCAGACTCCTGGGCTCAAGTGATTCTCTTGCCTCAGCCTCCTGAGTAGCTAGGATTACAGGTACCCACTACAATGCCCAGCTATTTTTTTTTTTTTAGAGACAGGGGTTTAACTGTTGCTCAGGCTGGTCTCAAACTCCTGAGCTCAAGGGATCCACCCACCTTGACCTCCCAGGGTGCTAAGTGCTGAGATTATAGGCATGAGCCACCATGCCTGGCCCGTTTTAGAGCCTTTAAAAGTCAAAACCTAAATGAATGTTTTCATGTCCCTCCATTTCGGCCCCCATTTTTTGTGGAGATCAAGGCCCACAGAACAGAAGTAAATTGTCTTAAGTCACCAGCTAGACCAGAACTCAGATCTCTAAATTCCTAGTTTGTTTTTTCAATTTACCTGTTTTCAGATTCTGCCTTTCTAGACTTTTCTTTCTGTGAAGGCTGTAATGAGTTTTTTTCAACTTGATTTAACTGTTTGCTGAGAATGTCCCCCTGTACCTGAAATGTCTGCTTCTCGGTGGCCATTTCCTGTTGTGCAGGTGCCTCACCCAGTCCTGCTGCATTTGGCTCACTCCTAGCAGTCCCATCTCACTCCAGGCATCCTTTGCTGCCTCTTCTTTCTCACCTGCCATCCTACACTTGCCTCAAAATGTCTTCTAAACCCCTGTGATTAGTGGTCTCTCAAGTGTTAATCATGGGAGGTTATAAATGTTTGCCGAGAACTTCATAAGTGTGTGACTGTGGAAAGTTTCGGGGCTCTGGGGAGGGGCGGGGAAGGGGACTAGGGAGCAGGATCATGATAGAAACTAGTCTTTTTTTTTTTTTTTTTTTTGCAGTTTTTGGCCGGGGCTGGGTTTGAACCTACCACCTCCGGCATATGGGGCTGGTGCCCTACTCCTTTGAGCCACAGGCGCCACCCAGAAACTAGTCTTAAATCCAAGCATTCCCCTCTCCTTGTGAGAGCCACAGAGGAACACTGTTTCCTCTTTGTTCTTAGGCCTCCTTACTCTCCCTGTCCCAGGCTTGAAAGACCTTACCCAAATGCTGGGCTTGGGCAGTAAGGGTACAACGGAGTTTCTTGGGTATTTTTAACCATTAGGCTTTAAAAAAATATCAGGGACAATATCACCACTCTCAGAGACCTTTACCATTGCCAATCCTGTTTCCCATTTGCTTCTAAGGAATTCCCAGTTTCCAAGCAGGGCTCTAGGTGCACTGATCAGATCTTATCCTGTTGTCCCTAGAGGGCATGGCACTAGTCTCTTGAGTTTACTGTAGATCTCACAGCCACCAGCCCTGACAAGGGATTGCTGAATCAGAGGACTTAGAATGGGAGGGCCTTTGAATAATCACTGTAATCCCTCTCAACTTAGAGCGGACTGAGAAATTGCCCATGGGCTCCATTAAAAATGTGGTCAGTGAACCTATCGAAGGACATGAAGACTACCACATGATGGTAAGTAGCACTGGCTGAGTCTGGCCTCTCGCTAGACTCCTGCTTCTGCTTCATCTAGCAGGGAGTGGATTTTTAATTGAGCTTTTTAACTGAAGAGAAAACTCAGTCTTCGGAAGATGCATTGTTTTAAGACTCTCTTGTTTTCTTCACCTACCTAGAACTTGATCCATGACCCTATTTCTAGTTCTATTTATTTTGCAACCCCCTCCCAGTACACCTACAATACAGTAAAGGGGGTATGTTTTCTTTTATCTCTTTTACCCAGTACAGTAAAGGGGATATGTTTTATCTCTTTTAGAAATGTCTCTTTGCCTCCCTCTCATTTGTAATATTTTATTTTTAGACCGAGAGAATAAATACAAAGAGGAGGAATGGCTTGTGGATTTTCATTTTAAAATTTTTCTTACATGTGACAACAAAACCTCCCCCCTGCTTTTGGTGTTGGTGAGGACACCGGGCAGTTTCCCTTCCGTAATGGTCCTGCTCTTTCCAGGCTGTACCCATTGAATGGTTGAGAACCCTGTGGGGAGGAAGAGGTGTGTGGAACTTCTGTTCTGCATAGAATCTTCTCTGCAGACAGCAGGCTGCCCTCCTAGGACAGAATGTTTAGAAGCATTCTACAAGTCTGTATAGAGCAAAGCAAAGAATTCAGTGATCCCATAAAGTGAGCAACTTAAGCAAAGTTTCCATTTTTCCAGCACTATTGGAGGGGACACTTCAACATGAAATTGAAGTTGCTAGACAGTTGGTGTGAGGGTGGGTCTGTCTGCCATTCTCCGTCTGAGGAGGCAGGTCTTTCAGTGTTGAGTGAGCAGTGATATAGCTAGGTCAGCCCCTTCCCAGGGAAGGAAGGAAGGAACAATAGGTAGTGGTTGACCTGTGGGTTGGTGGTACCAAGTGCAAGGCAGAGGGATATGTTGGAAGATCCTTGTGCTATAGGAGAAAATCAGTCAAAGGGACTCAAAATCTGGTGGGGTAGGGAGCCAGCCCTGTCCCCCTTCTGCTCTGTTGGTGTCTGTCAGTTCAGTGTTGCTGTCTCAAAGCCATAGCTGGGAGTACAGTTCCCTGGCTGTGGGCCCCTATGGAGTTAGCCTTCTGGGAGTCATGAGGAAGTCACTGGGGATTCTTTCAGGTCCTCTGGCAGCCATTCTATCCTTTCTCTTTGGCCTTTAAAACAAGGAATACAGACAGATTGGTTTGGCTTGGCTTTAATTATTTGTTTTTCTGTTTTAATAGTTGACTTTTAATCATTTTACTTGGGTCCCTTCACTCCTTTTCAAATTGTTTATGCTGCTAGTTTGACCCTGTGGGTTTGCAGCCCCAGTTTTCAGTCTGTGCAATGATAGGGATTTCAGACAAGTTGAGTGGACCATTTTAGATATCTTTAAAGAAATTGGTGTGGATGGGTAATGGCTTAGTATTTAGTTGAAATATCATTTCTCTCTGAAGTCCTTTCTGGCAGAGGGTGGTTCTGATAGCTTCCTTCTCTTTTAAAGATACAATTAAGTAGCACCTTTACTTTTGTCCTAGTGAAAGCATTTACTTCCCTCTTTTTGCTGATGCTGGTTCTCTAGCTTAATTAATGTGTCACAATTCACAATTACCAAAGTGTGGCCATGCTGTTTCATTTTAGAGACATGTTTAAAAAAATACAGAAAAAGACAGAGAATAATACTATCATAAACCCATATATTCATCATTGAGAAATGACAATTGTAAAGATTTTGTAACCCAACAGTGATGATGTCCCCACTGTCTTCCCCCTCGTCACCACTGTTTTGTGTTGTGTCATGTGTATCCTTCCCATCCGTCCCTGCTTTTATTTACACGTGTGTCTGTGAATAAGCTCAAGTATCATTTTGTGTTATTTCAGTTTTCATAAAGGGTATCATGGTATGTATCGTTCAGCAACTTGCTTTTTTTTGGTTTGACATGATGATCTACTATAGGTCCGTATGGATCCAGTCCATACCTTTATGGAAATACTTTAGTATTTGTCTGAATAGGCCACATCACTTTTAATTATGTACTCCCTTACTGATGGATATGTAGGTTGTTGCCAGGTTTTTATCATCTCTGGTGCTTTGAACATTCATGCCTGTGTCCTTGTGCGTGCATGACAGGTTTTCTAGGGCAGTGGTTCTCAGATTGGTCTCTGGATCAGCAGTGCTAATCACCTGGGAACTTGTTAATTGTCTCAGGCCCCACCCCCAGACCTTTCCGTCAGAAATGCCAAGGGGTGGAGCATACTGGACTGTTTCTGCAAGGTTTCCAGATGGTTCTGATACACAAGTTTGAGAACCACTGCTTTAGGGATGGCTATGCTTAATGATCACTCTTCTTTTTTTTTGATGTGTTAGGAAAATGCTCCCCCGTGCACAGTTTTTGTTTTTTCTTTTCCTTTTTAATTAATTCACTTTCCGACCCTCCCCCTTGTTTGTTGTTCCGCCTGCTTGGTCTCCCAACCTCTGAAGTATCGCTTGGTTTTCCTTTTTCCCTTCCAGGCGTTTCAGTTGGGCCCCACGGAAGCCTCTTACTACTGGGTGTACTGGGTTCCAACTCAATATGTGGATGCAATCAAAGACACTGTGCTGGGGAAATGGCAGTATTTTTGAAAGCACTTTCACCTCTGGCCCAGGAGACTGACCCAAAGTGAAGGACATTGCCGGGAAAGGCCTGCAGCATCCCTGGATTTCAGAGTTATGGAACTTTGTTCAAAAACAAACAAACAAACAAACAAACTATATTCAATCTAAGGTGATGTGGTGACTGAAGCCAGAGGTGATGTACTTTCACCATTAGCTTAATTTTAACTTAAAATCACCGGTTCCCATTCTTACAGTCAGCTTCATACCATTTTTAAAGTTAAAACGGTGGAAATCAATAAATCTGAATTCCGAACATGTTGTGTGGAATACTCTTAAGTGTGTTTGAGAGTAGATCTGCCAATTATGTTGAGAAGAGAATGATCAAAAGCTTTCTGTTTTTTTAAAAGTGATTTCAACTGAAATATTTTCATAAATCTTGGGTTGCAAACATTTGGACTGCATTGTGATAAGTTGGGATTTTTTTTTCCTTTTTCATATAAAATTGTATGCAACATGGGGGGGGTTAGTAAGCCATATATTTCTATCCATTGATTCATATTTCTTTTCCCTTTTTCATTTTCTCACTTCCTAGATTTGAGCTTTTGTTTTAAAAACCCAAAGATGTCAGTTCTTTTCGTACCTCATCCATGCTTCCTTTCCTGGGCTCCCTTCCACCGTGCTGCTGCTGTTTGTGAATGCATGGTGGGAGAGGAAAAGGCCTTTGGTCTTGGTCAGGGAGCTCTCACACTTGCTGTGGTGTTTGTTGAGCGGCAGAGTATCTCACAGTGACTCCTGTCTAAACGTCTTGCCCTCTGGGCCCCCATCTCTGGGGAGTTCCATTGCTGGTATGCAAACCTCACTGAGCTTGGCTTTGAGACCCAGCCTGGCATGGCTGTGTTCAGCTATGTTGCTCAAAAGCCCCAACTCCCAGGCAAAGGCCTGCGACATAGCCACAGATCCAGATACCGTCTTTCTTTGGAAGTTTTCAAGAAATTCTTAAGCTTTAGCAGTCCAATGATAATTTCAATTATGCTTCTCCATTTGGTCCTTCTGCTCATGCATTAAGTTCAAGTGTCCTTTATCCCAGGTTCAGAGATGCTGCCTTTCTCCATAAGAAGACATCTGACCTACTATCATTTGAACAACGAAAGTGGGATAAATTGCTTTCATGATTAGCTCACCTTCTGGTTTTAGCCCTTTTGTTCTTTGTACATGTGAACTCCTGTCCATCTCTTTCTGGCTTGATTGACTCTGAAATGAGGGAAAGTCTCTTGGTGAATGATATCCTTTGTGCTGTTTGCTGTTTCTCTGCTACTGTCTTTGCAATTCTCCTCTCACTGGTTGCAGGCTTTCATAGTAAGGTTTGGCGAGAAATTTTCCAAACTTCACATTTTGGATTCTAGGCTGTTCCCCCTCATTCTGTGAAATGTATTAGCATGTATTCACCTAAGATGACTATTCCTTGTGAGCCAGTTAATGATGTTCTACGCCCTTCCCTTCTAAGCCGTAGTTCAGGAATCCAGCCCATGTAGACAGACTCTTGCTTTCTGTGGTGTAGTCAATGCCAAGCTATACATCTGGGCAGGAAAATCTACTCTTTGCTTTTTTGGGGGCATAAGTACATGTGAAGTGCAGCATCCAAGAAACTGCCTGTTTTTCATCCCTTGAAAAAGGAGCGGTCATTGCAGCTTTTCTGTCCTTGTTGGCTTGCAGTTCCTGGGGAAAAGAGTGCTTCTTTGCTACTAGTGCACACCTCCCTCTGCAGGTGACAGTTCTATGGAGGACATGATATGTAGCAAGGAGAGCATCATCTCGGTTCGAATACTGCCCCCTTTGCCAATACCCCAGTCCCAGAGACGTGTTTTGATAGTGCCGCATACCCACTTTTGAGCTCTCAAAGCAGGCACCTCCATCCCCAGACTGGCCTCGCTGCTCTCCAAGGCCCCTCCACCCACTCCCCTCACCCAGTTTTCTGTGCCGTGCCTTTTGGGCAAGAGCACGTTTCCCATCATCTCCCCACTCCCCAAGGGCCAACTGCTTCTCATTCAGGCTGGTGTCATTTCAGGAGGACCAAAGCCTGTGTGAGCCTTTTGATTTTAAGTAAAAATGGTGCTTTTTTTCCTTACTTCGAGATATATATAATAATAATGTAAATGACACCTTTTCGTACAGAGCTGTTTTGAGTATTGCTTCACGGAGCTCACTAAATCTGCCACAAGAATCTTGAGCTCTGGCTTCTCACTCTGTCTGCACGGAAGACCTTGCTGGAAGCTCTCAGGAGGGCAGAGGTAGACAGCACCAGAAGCCACTGGGAGAAGTGTTTTAGATCTATGTCTGGGTCACAGCAGTATTCACTATTTTGTCACTCAGTCCCGTGAGCAGTCTCTTCATATCTTTCTTACGGTCTTGGAGTGTTCTGACTAAATCTGTGTAAGCAAATTGAAATACTCTTTCCCCTTAGGTAGCATCACAGTGTTTTATTATTTCCTCAGGATTATTTCTGTACGGTTTCTTCACTGTCAGAGGGGACCGGATTTTTCTGTCACTGTGGCAGAGGGCAGGTTGTGGGTAAAGGAAGAGCTGGTTCTGGGAGAGGGACTCTGACAGCATGACCTGAAGCTAGAGGTCGAGGGAGGGCTGCCCACGGTGGTTGAGGAGGCCGCTGACTCTTCCGTGTGGGACGCCTCTCGGAGCCTCCTGATGGGCTTCTTTCTTTTCTAGAATTCGTTCCGATGATCCTCCTGCAGGTCTTTGCTCTTAGACATCATGCCTTTTTCTCCCTGCCTGAGTTGCTTGGCAGAATAATGTGACAACATAATCCCTGCAGAGCCCAGTCCCTGTCAGCTCTATTTCAGACAGTCAAATCAGAGAATTTAGAAAGACAGACTTGCAAGTTGCTGGAACTCCTTGGCATTAATTATTTTAATCCAAGATGGGCCTTTTGCTAGTAGTGTTAGCTCTTTTTAAGTGGAATTTAACTGAGCTAAGTAAGGATGCACTTTCATATAATCTTGTGGACATAGTAGGGCCCAGGTGAGGCTCTCAGTAGGCTCCTTAGTTGCTGCTTTACCTTATGAGGGCCAAAGAGATTAACTGTCACGTTGCCATGTCTCAGAAAAGTTGCCATATTTCACCCATAAGGGGCTTGTTTTCCTCTTGCTCTTTCTTTAACCATGTGCCTGGAGGAGTGTTCTGGGCTCTTGCACTTGGCCCACCCTTTCTTTGCCACAGGCAGAGAGGGGACAGGGAACAGATTCAGTGTGCCAAGGGCCGTGCAAGAGCAGGCCTTTCCACCTATTGCCAAGGGAGACTGTTCCTCTTGCTCCTCACCTCTGTTCATGCTTGTTGTCTTGGAAAAGGATGGTCCCTTTGTCTTAAGGCTTTGTGATAAAATCATCTCCAGTTAGGTTTGGTACCTGTTTCATTCTTCATGGGGCCTCATGGCCTTTCTGAAGTCACAGGTGTTCAGGAGCCCTCTGATGTGCAGACCATCTGGTAGATTTACCTGCCAGGCTGGGTGGTTCTACTGCTTTCTGAATTTTTAAGAACTTCTTTTCTTTTTTTTCTTAAAGAGTTCTGCAGAATTATTTGACAGTAAATGTAAGTACCATGTTTTCTTGTGCTGTACGCTCTTTTTGGTTTCTGTTTTTAAATCAAATGCCTGTTTGGGAGGAGATGAACGTATTTAGTCTATTAGATTTGCGCTGCTGGATTTTTTTAAAAAGTGTAACCTTGACTAGCTGTCTTATTGTTTATCCTGTAAGATTAGTCTATGAATTAAAGTTTGATAATTAATTGCGTCTCCTTTTCCTTCCAATTTTTCATGCGCCTAATCCATACTGGGGATTGACCAACACTTGGAACTATGTTTGTCTGCTGTGGTCTTATTTATTGGCTTTAAGTATGTTCAACTTTATTCTCTACTGACAACAGTTGATATTTACTCTGTATTAGTCGAGGGGAGCAACTTGACTGTGAGCCATACTCCTGTTAGGGCAGCCCCTCCTTGGTTGGTTCTGGGCCACCCAGGCTGGAGAGGGGAAGCTGCCTCCCAGTTCTTGGCCTGACTGGGTGCCTTATGTAGCCTCACCTGGCCGTTTAGCCTTCGAGGACGTGTTTAATAAAACACTTGAGAATGGGGCTACAGCTTTAGCTACAGCTACAAAGACCTTGGACCAGAGAGGGAGAAAGATCTAATACCAAAAATGGCCCCAAACACAAGCCTTGGTATGAAGAGTAATGGTTTGTCAGAATTGGTTCTGACCCAGCACCACTCCCATTAGACCAGGCGTCCTCAAACTACACGCAGCTCACCTAGGACATTTATCTGGCCTGCTGGGTGTTTTTGCCGCCGCTGCCTATCCTGCTTAGCAGCTGACTCATCCCGGACTGGCAGTCCGGCCCTCCCAACAGTCTGAGGAACAGTGAACTGGCCCCCTGTTTAAAAAGTTGGAGGGCCCCTGCATTAGACCCTCTTCTCCTCTCCCTGATACTTTGTAAGTGTTCTGAAAGTTTTGGTCTCAACCTTTCCTGCAGGTAGATGAGGGGGGCAGTGTTTTTTCCCCATTTTCCCAGTACTTCATAATCCTGAAACGACACTGCTGGCTTCTGAAGGATCTGACAGTTATGTGAGAGAAGGACTGGGTGGGCTTGTGCCATGGTGCACACTGGCTGATGCCCATCTCCAGGTCTTCTGTCTGTAAAGAGGGTATGTTTGGATTTTATCCCAGTTCTGAATGGTTATTTCAGGCACCTTAAAACTAATAGGTCAATTGATTCTCCTCAGAATGGAGAATAAGATAAACACTAGCCTGACTATCTTGCCGTACTAGCTGAGCAGATGTCTAGCATTTTCCTAACTGTAGCTAAGTAATACAGTCTTCCCTACAGCAGTCCGGATCAGCCAGACAGTCCTCAGGGCTCAAGGTGATGACTACTACTTTGGGCTGAGAGTTGCTCTGTTTAGCCTAATTCTACTTTAGGATGTAGAGATACTTCACACCCAGGAGACTCCTGCCAACACCACATGGCTGCTCTCAGTGGGCATGCTGCCCCCCTCTGCCTTTGCCTAATTTATCAAGGATATATGTGTGTGTGTGTGTGTGTGTGTGTGTGTGTGTGTATATATATATATATATATATATTTTATAAGAGACAGAGTCTTTCTTTATCACCCTCGGTAGAGTGCTGTGGTATCACAGCTCATAGCAACCTTCAACTCCTGGGCTTAGGCAATCCTCTTGCCTCAGCCTCCCGATATAAAGGATATTTTTGTTCTGAAGCTGTGCTGGCCTCTCTTATTCTGATACCACTTATTCTGTTCACTCCATTTTATAACTCCTGATTTTTAAGTTTCTTGCTTCTACACCATTTTTGTCCTTTACCTTTACCTAATTTATTTATTTTTTATTTTATTTATTTTTTGAGACAAAGTCTCACTTTGTTGCCCTTGGTAAGGTGCTGTAGCATCACAGCTCACAGCAATCTCCAGCTCTTGGGCTTAGGCCATTCTCTTGCCTCAGCCTTCCAAGTAGCTAGAACTACAGGTGCCCGCCACAATGCCCAGCTACTTTGTTGTTGTTGTTGCAGTTCGAATCCGCCACCCTTGGTATATGGGGCCTGCACCCTAGTCACTGAGCCACAGGTGCCACCCATACTCTTATTTAAAATACTTAACTATTTAGGCTAGGCATGGTGGTACGTGTCTGTAATCCCAGCACTCTGGGAGGCCCAGGCAGGTGGATTGCTTGAGTTCACAGGTTTGAGACCAGCCTGAGCAAGAGCAAGACCCCATGTCTAAAAATAGCTGGTTGTTGTGGCAGGCCCCTATAGTCCCACCTACTTGGGAGGCTGAGGCAAGAGAATCACTTGAGCCCAAGAGTTTGAGATTGCTGTGAGTTATGACGCTACAGCATTCTACCAAAGGCATCAAAGTGAGACTCTGTCTCAAATAAAATATTTAAACTATTTTTCCCTTTTTTTTTTGAGACAGTCTCACTTTGTCTTCCTCTGATAGAGTGCTGTGGCATCATGGCTCACAGCAACCTCAGAGTCTTGGGCTTAAGCAATTCTCTTACTTCAGACTCCTGAGTAGCTGGGACTATAGGCACCTGCCATAATGCCTGGCTGTTCTTAGAGACAAGGTCTTGCTCTGGCTCAGGCTGGTCTCAAACCCCTGAGCTCAGGCAGTCCACCTGCCTCGGCCTCCCAGAGTGCTAGGATTACATATGTGAGCCACCTTGCCTGGCCTCCTTTCTTTGTTTTGAAAATTTTCAAACATACAGAAAGTTGAAATATCCTACCTTTCACTTAGGTTTACCATTGTTAAAAATGATAACCACATTTGCTTTCTCTTTTTTTAGACATAAACTTTTGCTGTGACATTTGACAGACATGCAGATAATGTGATACTTCACCTGTGCATATTTTAGCATCCATCTCTGAAGACTAAGGACATTGTTTTGTTACCTCAATACCATATCTCACCTAAGAAAACTGATTACAATTGCTTTCAGATTTTTTCTCTCCTTGGTTTCACTCTATGTCTTTAAAAAAAAATTTTTTTTTTTTTTGTTTTTGGAATGAGTCTTGCTTTATGCCTTGGGTAGAGAGCGTTGGCAGCCTAGCTCACAGCAGTCTCAAACTCTTGAGCTCAAGCAATCTACTTTCCTCAGCCTCCTGAAATGCTGAGATTACAGGCGCCTACCACAAGGCCTGGCTAGTTTTTCTATTTTTCTATTTTTAGTAGAGATGGAGGTCTTGATTTTGCTCAGGTTGGTCTCAAATTCCTGAGTGCAGGCGATCCACCCGCCTCAGTCTCCCAGAGTGCTAGGATTACAGGTATCAGCCATTAAAGGAATATGGCTTACAGCTTTTGGGGTTTTTTTTGTTTGTTTGTTTGTTTGTTTTTTGAGACAGAGCCTCAAGCTGTTGCCCTGGGTAGAGTGCTATGGCATCACAGCTCACAGCAACCTCCAACTCCTGGGCTCAAGCAATTCTCCTGCCGTAGCCTCCCAAGTAGCTGGGACTACAGGTGCCCGCCACAATGCCCACCTATTTTTTGGTTGCAGCCGTCATTGTTGTTTGGCAGGTCCGGGCTGGATTCGAACCCGCCAGCTCTGGTGTATGTGGCTGGCGGCTTAGCCGGTTGAGCCACAGGCGTCGAGCCAACTTTTGGGTTTTTAAAATACCCTTTTAAATTTACTATGGTTGCTAGGGTTGGCTTTTTTTCTCTCACTTTAAAGAAAAGTAATTTTCACTGTATTTTTTTTATTTATTTTTGAGACAGAGTCTCACTTTGTCACCCTTAGTGGAGTGCTGTGACATCATCGTTCACAGCAACCTCTAACTCTTGGGCTCAAATGATTCTCTTGCCTCAGCCTCCCGAATAGTTGGGACTACAGGTGCCTGTGCCACAATGCCTGGTTATTTTTAGAGGTGGGGTCCTGCTCTGGGTCAGGTGGTTCACCTGCCTCGGCTTCTGAGAGAGCTGGGATTATAGGAATGAGTCACTGCGCCCTGCCTGTCTCTATTTTTTCATCTTTGACACCAATCTCTTTCCCTTCCCTGCCTATTGGTAAGTCTTGTAGCCCACATCATGGGTTTCCCATGGCAGAGGCATGTGGTTCTGGAGGAGCCGTCAGGGAACTGCCCCTAGAGAGCAGAGTTCTCTTATCCACTGAGAGAACCAGACTGATCACTCTGGTTCTCCTCCCATAGCTAAATCCAAGACTTACAGACCCCACCAGGTCATGACTCAGGACTGTCTTGGTTTTTGGTGGCTATTAACATGGCTCAGGTAAAGGAATATGGCTTACATAACTGGAAACTCCAGTGTCAGATCTGGCCCTGTGCAGGTGCTCAAGTCAGGCTGATGGGTGCTTGATTGTCAAGACTCCTGAGTCTTCTTTGTTCCCTGTTGACTTAGTCTCCCCAAATAGTAACACGATGGAAAAGAGAATTTTCCCCCGAAGAGTTCCATTAAAAGAGTTCCCTCTTTAGGGGAAAATTCTAAAATTTTTTCTCTCAAGGGAAAAGCCTTCTATAGGCATGTCATTCTACCTTGCACAAATACGAGACCGTGCACTTGTTTACTCTTCCATTCATTGTGAGCCTGGGCTTTCAGGCAGACATGCCACACCATAGATGAGAGACTTTGACAGAACACCTAGCAGGGTTTTCGTTTCTTGCTATGTGTCAGATAAATGCCACTTGGAAAGGACCTTCTCTACTGTAAGGCTCCAGCCTTGGAGTCAAGATTGACTACCTCTGGGACTCCACCAAGTGCTCACTGTAAGTGCTGGGCATTCAGGTTCTGTAACATCAGCTCCTTTGTTGTGTCTTGCCATATACCAAACACTGCACCAAACTGTGTTGCGTGCAGTATGTGGTCAGCACTGCACCATGTCCCTCCTGTTACTCTCACTTTAGCCATCGGAAGAGACAGAAGGCTCAGAGAAAAGTGACTTAGCCAGCACCACATGCCTGTAAAGTGATTGAGCTTATGATTTCCGAACCCAGATTTGCCAGGCACTATCTCAGTTTCTGGCCTGATGTTTGAGAATTTAGGAAAGAACTCAGATACTTTGCTTTCAAATTTTTTTCCTTGCTTTTGCTGTATGTGGTTTAAAAAATGTTTTAACATATTTCACACAAATATAATGTCCATATTATCGTTTCTATATGTAATCTATAAGTCACAAATGAGATTCTTCTCTGTACTGTCTTCAGAATCCAGTTTTGTAGTTTACACTTAAAAAGTCTAAACTGGGCTCGGCGCCTATAGCTCAACCGGC